ATTAATAAATTTGATGCTAAAAAGCAAAGTCCGAAGCACTAGCCATCTTAAGTCTAGCTCCAACTATATTTTCAGAAATTCAGATCGTTATACTAATTGCCAATACTAGAAATTCAACCTGAGATCTATCAAACTAGGTCCTTCACGTTTTGCTTACTCTTGTGAGTAACAGAGGTACATTTGCAGGTTTACATGTGCAAGACCGCGCAGAAAAACAGATCTTTACTACAGAAATAATCAGTGAACCCACGCAAGCCACTAAACCCATCTATTTCCATTTCTTCCTGTTGGCTGTTCGGTGCCTGCTGCAAATTCTTTTTTATTTAGTCTGCTACTATGTATTTGAAGAGGGTGTTTCTTTCTTGGCTGGTCCTAGGTACTACCACAACAAACACAATCAATAATAATAGTTAGAAAAACGTCATGTTGCAAAACAAAGACATAAAATACACTCTTATGATTTAGCCAAACAGTAATTTTGTCTAAATAAGCTAATCTAGGTAAGAAGAAAATCTTCTACTGTACCAGTATCGTATTCTTCTTCATCTCCGATGCTGAATACTGGTTTCACACCACGGTAGGGTTTTCCTACTCTGTCACTGCTGCTGACATGTCTGTTGGCAATGAAAAGGGCAGGAGAGGACATGGGACAGGAGAAGAAAAGTAATTTTCAAACTGATGGTAAGACTCCTACAATAACATATTAGCAAAATGTAAACACAGCTGTGCAACTGAGAAGGACAAGAGGATTTCATCAAGCTGCCTGCAAGGATGCTGTGACCGACCCATCGAGCAATTTGGTTAGTGAAAGCATGTATTTCAGTTACTTGGCAAGGCTGGCTGTTGTAACAAATAAAGTGAAAAGAAACACTACTTGGTTTGAAAAAGAACTTCTGGTCACCTTCTCAAATGACAAAATGCATTAGAGACCTGAAAACTGACAACATGCTATGAAGTCTCTAGCACGAAAATGAAAATATTTCTGGACAGTCAGGTCAGCTTTACAAGGATGCCAAATTAGGATGGAGGAAAAAAACCAAACTATTAACTAACACAGCTGGAAGCTCATTTTTGTAGTCAATTCCTCAAAAGGTAACAAAATAACTTTAGCACTTCAAAGTGGGGTTATTATAAACCACCCACTGTAGTGTGAACTCTGCCTTCCTGTCCATTACTTTCTCCAGAATGAGCCAAATCCTGAAATCTTTGGTCAGGCAATTCCTACTGCTAAAATCCCAGCATCACTGGGATTTCTGCATAGATATAGAGCTCAAAAATCACATTTAAATCTATTTCTACAGATCATATTAAATGACACAAACACACGACTGAGCCTTGTTTGACAGTAACAGTTGCAAATCCTGAGGTATTTTAAAGCTCCGAGCGCTGTGATTACATGGTCGCAGCTGTCATCTTAAAAGTTCTGGCCCTCAACTGCTGAGGATGCCTGAAATATATGAGAAAATCTAAAGGTTCAGAAAGCCACAGATCAGGTAATTTCTGAACAAAATAAGCAGTTCATGATTTTAGCCTTTAGAACTGGCAACATGTAGTAGTTTAAAAAAAAAAAACAAACAAAATGAAATTAAAACATGCCTGTCCCTTTTCCCCATTTCAATTTCTATAACCTCCCTCCCCATAACGTGTATTCATATTTCCTATGAACTATAAGCCCTGGTTCCTGCTTTAAGTATAGTCACCAATTCCAGTTTACTTGCTACTGTAGAACCAAGTTGGAGAAGCAATCTCTTTAAGTAACACACAAATGAATACTTGTACTTATGTACACCTGAAAGCATATTTGAAAGTTGAAAAAGAAAAAAAGTTTTTCTGTGGCTAAATTTTACTAATGTGGACAAAACAAGGAAATGTTTAACAAAAAAAAAAAAACAAAACAAAACCAGAAATGTATTCTGAAGTGAAACAAAAAACCAACATACAAACCCATGCTCATTAGTGTGTAAGGCAATAAGCATCAATGACACTGACAATTCAAGAGGGCAGTGCTTCTATAGGGAGGCTTTCGTAAATATGCTTCAGTAATACATAACCAATTGAGTAAGAAGCAGCACGTTTAAGTAGAGTCAAATTGAACTACACAGAGAGGATTTAAGAGAAGATCTCATTGGTGTTTACAGATCAAAGTTAGTCAAGACAAGAGAAAGTAAAAAGCTACTTACAAAAACCTGTTAACATCTTAAACTAGAAAGGGATTTCCTTTAACCTGTTTGCATGGAAGGCCATCATTACATTGTTACCAACTGAATGCAATTCTCTTTACTGGCAAACTTGCAAAATGAAATAGATTGGTGATAAACACAAAGTGCATCTAACTGAATGGATGGGAATCACAGAATCACAGGCCATTCCAGGCTTTTAAGAGCTGCAAATTTAAGAGAACGGTCTAGCGATCCATAGTGTGAGCAAATTTATCATTGCACCTTCTCAGTGAAACAAGATAAGCAATATTAGTGAAAGGAGCAAGTAAAATAACCAAAGTATGATCTCAATATATCAAAACTTCTTGGTTACAAATACAGATTCAAGTGTCTTTCAGTTATCAAACACAGTTGCCAAGTGGTTTAATTTGGAATTTTAACACTTTCTTAACATATTCTAAAACATGATCAACAAAACATGGGGAGAAATCCCCATGATCTTTAGGATTTCTAAATTAACAAAGTATATTACGTTCTATTTGGATATTCCCACTTTTTTTTTTATTTAAAAGAATACTTGTTTTGCTCACACAACACTATTCTGTAATACTTACAGATGAATCCTATCTCAAATTATGTGCAAACTACTTGAAAGAATAATTGGTCAAAAAACCTTGAAAATCCAAACTTCATTTAAAACCTTCATTAATTTTTCCAGCACCTATCATGCTTTTCAGTCTGAGTCAAAAGCTATAACAGAGTTCCTAAAGTATAACCAAAGTTCCAAAGTGATTATGCATAAGCTGTCTTTCATTTATCACACGTAATTTTACATAACCTCTATTTACAATTTTTTATTTTTGAAATAATTATAAGGCAATAAATCTGAGACAAATGTGAAGGGACTCACATTTGTGTGAAATGGAGGAGTTACGTGAAAAAGATGAGGGAGAGTTGCAAGGCATATTTACTAATTAACTCAGTATTTTTCTCTTCCCAGTAATGAGCAACTCTGGTTCTATGTTCTATCACTATGTGATAAGAAGCATAAAAATTCCAGGTTTCCAGACAGAAATATGTCTGGTTTCCTTATTACATCCAAACTCTCACAAGGCTTTACGAACAGTTTATAACAAGTCCTTTTCACAGTTATAGTGAAGCTTTGTTAAAACCTTAAGCCATAATTTGTTCAGTAATTGCTCCTGGTGTCTTTCACTACTACAACTCACTAATAAAACGTATATAGCAAACGACAAGTAAAAAAAAAATTCCATAAAAAGCAATAGTAAGGAGAACAGAAACAACAAAGCAGAAACTAAGAGAAGAAAGCACTGCCAATACATCCTTTTTCTTCCTCTAGTCCTCTGACCAGTACTTGTACAAACCAATAGCTATTCAGACCCCCTAAATTAATATAGAAATACGTGAGCAATTTTGTCAGTGTAACCAATGCTTACAAATATTGTGATGCCATGCTCAATACAACAAAGGTGGTTTTAGTCAGACTGCTTAATTATCAAGCTTACCGCTCCAGGCTTGCTCTGTCTGGCCAGGGAATATTGAAAGGTATTCTATAGTACATTGGGGCAGAGGACAGAACAAAAGAATTAAAAAAAAGTTTAAAAGAAAAAAAAATCTAGATAAATAATTGAAATGCTTTATATTGGCAATGTATCTTCTTCAAGGAGGATGCTTATAAACAAAAGCAATGCTTCATGACAGCTAGCCACAAGGTAGAGAAGTATTTGTAAAAATTTTACTTAAGGATGCATTTTGCATGCTATGTTGGCTTACGCATAGTATAAGCCTTACCTGAATTCTTCACGCAACAGAAGCTACTACCAACTGCTATTTAAGAATTTTTTGCCTCTAATTGTGAAATAATAATTAAAAAAAATCGTTTTCCAACACAAAAAGAAGCAACAATCTGTACCTTTTCATTAGGTATGAGACTACTAAGAACTACTGTTCCTTTGTTTGATAGCTGGATTTAAAATACATGCCAAACACTAGGTCTGTAAGATTCTTCAATACCAATGTCTTAGCAACCTACGACTCCAAATGCTGCATTTTAAAGAACTTTAAAACAGGCTATTCAGTTAAAGCTTTGACAGATGAAAGCTGTTATTCTTTTGTCTAGTTAGGTAAGTATTTGGAATGACAACTTCCAACTTTTAAAGCATCTTTTAACATGTTTGCACATTCTCTTTCCCAGCTCTACTTGAAGATATAAAAGCTGAACAAGAGCAGATTCTGGGTCTGAAAAGCAGCTTTACATCAGGACTCGGAAAAAAATAAAAATAAAAATCAAGATCTTCGAAAAAGTTAACCTCAACTTGACAAGAAGGGGCAGTAAACCAACCAAAACAGAACAAAACCAACCAAACAAAATCCCATTCAGAATCCTGTAATTCACCCATTCCGTGAGAGTCACAATGGAGAGGAACGGAAAGGCTCACACTGGCCTTGCAATACTAAGGCAGCAGAGTAGGGTTGCTATGTCTTGATAAATTGTAAGGAGGGGAGAAGCAGGAAAACTAAAAGCTGAAACTGGAAGATAACTTTTTTCCTAATTAGCACAATCTTCACATTTACAAAATAGCCACCCAAAATGGGAAGTCATTCCTCACTGCGAATTCGCAGTGAGATATAAATGACGTACCTGTCCACCGGAGTAGATGTGTTTTCAATAAAACTAATAACTTTTTCTTTCACATTCACAGATTTAGTCTTCAAAGCAACGGTCATTTTATTCACCAGTGACTTCACTCCCTTTCCATCACTTGAACCATTAGGAGAATCACCCTGTAAAAGTAACTCCTCTCAGATTATTAATATAAAAGTAATGTTATTTCATCTCTAGTTTGTTAAGAAAGGACATGGACTACAAATTAATGATCTATTTTTTGGTACTCAGTAGAACATTAATTACAGCATGAAGTATTTTTTCAGAGTGCTATCAAATGACATGTGTCTGAGATAAAGATGATCCAATAAAGAAAGCAAGTTTAACAAACCTTATTGAGCACTCTGCTACGAAAATCTAGAGAGGAAGGAATTTATTAATGACAAATTGTATCCAAATTAAAAGCCAAAGTCTACATACAACATACCAGCTGTAGAAAACAGACAATTTTGAGCTTTCCCATAAAACTGTATGCCAGTTTTATAGTAATTTATTCCCAGAGTGAAGAAGAGTCAGGAAAAGAATTGTCCATTACATATATTCTGCTGGAGAATGACTACAGCAAGTTTTTCTCTACAAGCTTTTCCTCTCAAGAGAATAAAAATGTTCAGGTTGCCTCCAACTAGACAGTGAATATAGTTTGAAATTAAACACACAACTGAAAACAATAATGACTGGCAATAATGCATTTTATAGAACAGAAAAAGGAATGCAAAGAAAAAAAATCAGTACACCTGGTGTTCCCATTCCACTATATCACTTGAGCTTAAAATTAACTTACATCAACAGAAGAGTTTATGCTACTTCTTGAACCTGAGGTACTAGCAATCCAGTGACCATATCCATTTTCTGGTCCTTCCACATTGATATCTGCTAAGTGCTGCTGGAGGGCTGTTAAAAGGCCATTAATACATGTTCAGACTAAACTGGAATTAGTCTGTTGACGAAAATACTGTATAACCAAGACTAATAAGTACCAATTTTTGCTCCACATGATTTAATATAACAGATAAACTCAGATACTGCTATAACCATCTCCGGCTTTTCCTTCAGTAGTACAATGGCATTAGATAACATTTATTTTAGTAAAGAAAACAGTTAAAATACGACAGCAACTAAAAATCAATCACTGCTTTGATCCTACAGATAGCTGTTATGACACTGCACGTATTGATGAGCAATGCCTCTATAATCATATTGTAGCACAGATCTCTCCACTGTTCTAGAGCCTGATTGATTCCAGCAACATGAACTGCAGAATTATGAACTGATGATTTAAGAAAAATACAACAATTAGTAGCAATTATGAAGCAGCATGTTCATACGGATCTGCAGTCTACAGAGACTGAACAACAAGAACAGTAAGTCAGAAGAAAGAGAGAATTCCCCACTTCCTGTATTTATTTTTCACCATTCAGAAATGTGGGTAAGCCATAACAGTTAACCACAAACATGCAAGTGCACAGCGGTGACTTATATAAAACAAAAACCTGACAAATGAGATCTATTTGCTACTCATTTATTTCATAGATTTCATAGATTTCTAGGTTGGAAAAGACCTCAGAGATCATTGAGTCCAACCGTCCCTAATCCCCATTAAACCATATCCCTAAGTAGTTCATCCACCCTTTTCTTAAACACAGCCAGAGATGGGGACTCAATCACCTCCCTGGGCAGCCTGTTCCAGTGGCTGACAACCCTTTCAGAGAAGAAATACTTCCTAACATCCAACCTGAATCTCCCCTGACTAAGCTTGTACCCATTTCCTCTTGTTCTGTCACCCAACACTAATGTAAAGAACCCTTCCCCCACCTCCCCACCATCTTTTCTCAAGTATTTGTAGGCTGTAATCAGGTCTCCCCTCAGCCTCCTCTTCTCCAGGCTAAACAGCCCCAACTCCCTCAGCCGCTCCCCGTAAGTTTTATTTTCCAGCCCCTTGACCAGTTTAGTCGCCCTTCTCTGGACTCGCTCCAGGAGCTCAATATCTCTCTTAAAGCGAGGGGCCCAAAACTGGACACAATATTCCAGGTGCGGCCTCACCAGTGCCGAGTACAGGGGCAGGATCACTTCCCTGTTTAGGAAGGGAAAATTTAGCTGATTTCTAGCCAAAGTCTAATAAAAATATCAACAGTGTTAAGATAATAAGCTTTCTCAAGTCAAATTTCATTATTAAGAAGCTTACCCATAAATCCTCCTTTGGCAATGCTTACATACTCCTTATTTTTCTGCAACAGAAAAGACACTTTGGGTTGAAGCAAAAATCTGTGGAATGAGTTTTGCAAGCAGGGTAACAAAACATGGGTTAATTTCACAAAAACCGTAAACTCAATGCAAAAAACAGTTAGGATTTTAAGGGGAAAATATTTTGCCATTTAGCATTAATGCAGACACACTTTATTTCAGCTATTGAAATCAACAGCAATTTAACTGTACCTGTAAAAAGTGTGCTAGCACCATGTTCATATACATATCTTCTTCCTCCCTGCCACTTCCCATGAAGCAGAGATGTTCCCCACCAGCTACGGAGCCAGACTCAATAGATTGCTTTTGTGCTTCTAACAGGGATTTTACAGACTGTGCAAATTCTGATGGGTTTTGAAGCATCTGTGGAACAAACAAACCAACCAAAAGTGCTGTTTGACACCAATGTACCGTAACACAACTTGTGAAAAGATACAAACTCCGAAAGTGGTTATAATTTGTTGAGCACAAACAAGGCAACATCAGCACTGTACAAGACACACACACAAAAAAGACAGCCTGACCCAGAACTCATATTATGTAAAGAACACCGAGAATGGTCCTTTTCTTCCTCACTCCACTTTGCTCTCACCAAGAAAGAAATGAAGCTAACATTTGTTAGTTTAATTTTGCAGACACCAAATGATAGTGGAAAAAGTCTTTCATGTTGCATTAAGCAGGCAATATGGCAGAGGGACTGATTTCCATATTTACATATGCTTGAGCACAACATGTTCAAACTTTGCAGGTTCAAAACCCTTTAAAAAACTTAGAATTTCTAGGTGCCAGTAAAGTCCTCCTCTTATTGTTTCCTTCTTAAGCTTTTTCTCATTTACTTACGAAGATCTGGAAAAATATTTACAATCAGGATACAAGGAGATACCTAGGATTCTTAGCACTCTCAAGAAGTTAAGGCTGTGGTCTCCTGAAGGCTGATTATGCACGCAAAAACAATGAGCTGCTATATGAAAGAGATGGAGAAACAAACACTTTCTAAATACAGCTGAAATTTTAACCTGCTCTGGTGGGGAAGGCACTTTTTAAATTAATAAGGAAATACTGACCTGCAACTGGACTCGGGGAGGGAAGAGGGGCTGGAATTCTCATTATCTATACCCTTTGAACCGGATTAAATGACAAAGTAAAAAGTAACAAGTACACAACCTAGCCATCAGTAAGTCAACCTGAACTTTAACTGGGGTTTTCCTAGAGCCAAATGGTGCTGCTTTATTCCATAGGTGCTAAATCTCACTACTTCCTCTATCTAAGATTACCTATAAGTGAGATGGATTCCAAAGTGCTTTGCCCACTGCCTTACCTTAAAGTACATAGTGTGTACTTTGCACATACAAGCATATAAAAAGCACTGAGGTTCCACTAATAGCTTTCGTCCCAAAGATTATTCCCTACAACGTTTTCCTGGCATTAAACTTCTAAAACCAGAGATGAACCTGGTGACATTCATCCAGTATGGCTCACGAAGGATCCTAACCATACCAACTGACACATCCTGCAGAAGTTAATTCCAGTATGTAATTTAAATATATATGAACTAATCACATCTAATTTAATAATTGTATTTGTGAACTTCTTTTTCAAATAGGTCTTTAAACTATTTAATAATTTGTAATGCTTATTTCTACTTTATTGAATATATTGTTCAATTAAGGCTAGCAGAAGGACACCCACATTCCATGGGAAAGTTTTTTCCTGAATAATTTTTGATCTAGGTTAAAATCCAGAATGCTGTATCATAGAATTGTTTAGGTTGGAAGAGACCTTGAAGATCATCGAGTCCAACCATAAACCTAACACTGCCAACTCTCCACCACTAAGCTATTTTCCTAAGTGCCATGTCTGCAAGTCTTTCAAACACCTCCAGAGATGGTGACTCAACCACTTCCCTGGGCAGCCAGTTTCAGTGCTTGACAATCCTTTCAGTGAAGAAATTTTTCCTAACATCCAGTCTAAACCTCCCCTGGTGCAACTTAAGGCCACTTCCTCTTGTCCTGTCGCTTGCTACTTGGGAGAAGAGACCGACACCCACGTCGCTACAACCTCCTTTTGGGCAGTTACAGAGAGCGATAAGATCTCCCATCAGCCTCCTTTTCTCTCCTATATAATTATACCTGTGCAATAATACTGAATAACACATCATTCCAGTTAGAGAGGTAAAGATAATAGATGCAGGACTGAGCTTCTTAACAAGAAAGATAAAGTCTTTTATGGGTTATATATATATATAAATCATTCCATGCAGCATCCATAGACTGCTTGAAGTTAAATAGTAGAGTGCTGCTAGCAGTGAAGAATACACTGTCAGCCAGCTGAAGCATAAGTGACTTGAAGAAAAAAGGACAGAGAAAAACATGATCAAATGTTCAGTTAGGAATTGATAACCAAATGAAAACTACAGCAAAATCTTTAATGAAGTAATTTGTCTGTAGTACATCTCAGTCTCAAAATTAATGCACTTCCTCTCTCATACTCTAGTGCAAAAACTTTTAATGAGCAATCAAATCCTTTTCAAGACATATGCTCCTTACAAGCAGGCTGTAGTAAGCTTGGCAGGGGGGGTGGGGAGGCCAAAGCTACTTGTTAAAATTAACAACACCTTTCATTAGAAATTGTGATGCTAAAAAGAGATTTTTCCTCCGAGCAATGTCTAGCCTTTAGCCTGTAGGGGTTTCCAGTTCTAAGCAAACAACAGGAAGTCTGGAATCCCAAATTATAATGTCATTAAGGACTAAACTCCTCAGTAAAATGATGGTTCCACCAATCTCCTTTAGAGAAGCTAAGTTTTGAAACCTCATCACATAGCTAGACACTGCAGTCCACAGACTAGAGCCTAAACTAAGGATAATTTATTTTTCAAGACAGATGTTTCTCTCTCCTTCTAATTAACTTCGGATTCAAAAATCAGTAAAGAAACAAAAAAGCATACGAACCAAATCCGAGTCTAAATGAAACGCTGTTGATAAATGCCCAGCATTATATTGCTCTGCAGGACGACAATCCACTACAAAGAACCTTACTCCTTCCTGAAAAAGAAATATTTTGCCCATTACAAAATTTTAAAATTGTGTAATTATTGATGGGAAAGTACATAATTCAATTATATTTTAATATTAATTCTAGTACTACATGAACCCTTCAAAGAGGCTAACAGCTATCGGAAAATCCTATTAATTTGATTAATCTGAACTTCCACAGCTACCAGACCACCAACATTATTCTAACAGTGATTTCCCATTAACGCATCAGCTCGTGTATCAGAAAGGATCACCCAATTGCAATACACACAGTGCAACTATTTCACCTCTATGAGAAGAAATATAGTGGGTATGAGGACAAACATCAACAAGGTATCAGAAGAGACCACTTTGAAGTCTCAATCCAACAGTCCATCACTACTGAGAACAGCACATAAGGACAGCTTTACTTCCCACTGACTTAAAATGGGAGATAAACAGATGCTTAACTTTACTTGGACTAGGAAAAAAAAGAATGCATGATGAAACTGGGGCCTGGAAATGGCTACAAAAAGCCATTTTTGTAGTCAACAAGAAACAATCTAGCTACACTATTATTCATAGAGAATTTAAGACCGATATAAGTGAAGTCCTTGCATCTAAGTATGTCTGCAATTAACTACTACAGAAATAGCTTGAATCAATTTTTTTTGTGGTTGTTTAAACCTTTCATTGACAGAAGTCAGATATTTCATAATGGCATTCTTCTCAATGGTTTTAGATTTTCCTCTATAATAACTACATTTGGAAATGAATTCAAATTAGTGAGATATTACTTCAAGCTCCCACTCCTCGGATTCAAATCAGCTGTATCAAGCTCCCCCGTGCTGTAGTTCTAGTTGCTACAGCACAAACACAGATCATTTACAAGGGAGACAATTTCAAGACAAGAATATTTTTTTCCTGAAATAGCAAATATTCACCTGTGTTGATAGTACTTAAAAATACTTGTAATAGACAAAATAGTAAGTGATTCTTTTCCTTTTCTACAAAATGGGGGGGGGGGGGAAAAA